AGCAGGACGCTCAGTTACACCAGTCCAGATGAAAAATGACTGGTTTACAGAAAACTGCGCAGCTCGAAAGTTTGAACACCAACAAGCAGGTATTTTTTTTCTACTAAGTTTGGTTGGTAGAATGGTATGGAACTTACAGCTGCTGCAAATTCACTGTTGGTTGTGAAAAATGAGTTGATTGCAATTACTTTAATGTCTTCAAGGTAGTTTCTAGTTAATTCTAATTCTGCTGGAATAATGTTAGTGGTCGAAGGTCAATAAAATTGGTGTTGCTTCAATGTGTAAGTTTAAAAAACTGTCAAATTCCCGCCCCCTTCCTGATCTGGCCAAAGATGACATGTTCAGTGGCAAACTGTTATTGAACAGCTGGTTGTCTAGGTGGTTTCCTGAAAACAATGTGGGAACTGTTAACCAGCTTTACCCAACTATAGCAAGACATTTTCCCATGTTATAGTGAAATAATCTGCCAGGGGAAGTTATTTAGAATCAGTATTAAGGAATTATTGACTTAAAACCAGATTCTTGCTGAAAAGTTGCTTATAAAATAGTTTTGGACTAATTCAAATGTACTAAGATATTTGGACTAGAAATTAGACCAAAAATACTTTGTAAAATTTTGTTTTTATAGTGTATTCAGTCACTTATTTTGTGTCACACATATTTATGTCATTTTATTGAAAAGTTTTCATTTTGACAAAGGGTTTCATTGTCTTTTTCTGGTAAAGAAATTGATTTAGTATATGTAATGATTGATTTGTAAAAGTAATAAAAACATCCAAGGGGGTGGATGCTTTTATATTCACTGTCAGTGGTGAGAAATTGTTACTTAAAAAAACATTAAGGTTTACCCCGTTACTCAGTTCTTGGTCCAGATTTGTAAAGAAATTAAATAAAACTTATTTGTTGTATTCATGTCCTGTCTGAGTGATATTTCAAGATGTATGCAAATGACAGTTTTATGTGGAGCCAGTGGCATAATTTTGTGTTGTTGGGTCCCGATGACTTATGCTTTTATAGTGTTTTATATTTGCATTTTAAACACGCCTTAGCAATCTTTATGATTTTATATAGCTAAAAGACGAGCTAGGGACGGCTACTGCAAATTCTCTTTGGCTATTTGTATAAAGATGGTAATAATGTAAGAAAAAAAATGACAAATATAACATCATCTTTCCTGCACAATAAGTATGCTATATAATCAGCTCATTTAAAAATTGAACAGCCTGTGCATCACTCACCCAGATTTAATGATACAAACATAATGACTGTCTGATCTCTAACAACCAACCATTAAATGTGATTCTGTGACTTTAACACTGTAAGAGTCATTTCTGTTAATCTCTTGCTTAGATCCTCAAAATGACTAAAATTCTGTACAATTTTTGTGCAACATGACAAGGCTGCCTTGACGGAGGGTAATTCTATGTTTTTAGAAATGTTCAACCCTAATATCCAGGGAGGACAAATCATTAAAAAGCAATCAATAAGAAAATATTTCAATTAAGAACTTTCAATCTGTAAGGTTTTTTCCTTTCGATTTTTGTTCTTCTTTGTTGCCACCACTTGAACAAAATGAAGTCTCCAGGCTGAAAGAAGCTAGACAAAGGAAATAGATTCCCAAACATGCATCCCCTCTTCCTTATTACCTCTTTTTGTATTTACTTTTAATTTGTATCGATCTTTCACCTGCACCTCAATTTTGCTGATGTCAGAAAGGTGAGGGAGCATTACAATATACAATACTTTTTTTCTCCTCTCTTATCGTGGCGGAAATGAAAAGCAAATGGCACCTTTGTCCAGGACGTGAGATCATCCAGGCGGAAGGGCTTTGAAGCGCAGGGTGAAATTGAAAAGGTTGCAGGTTCACATCCCCGGACAATGCTGGCCCTTCTGCCTCCACTCCTGCGGCTCACAGGAGATTAGAGGAGCGAAAGAGATAAGGAGCAGCATTGGCTAAATGTTTTTTTTTTTTTTTCCAGAATGGGGGCTGGGCAAATTGGAAAAGCTGAAGTGCTCTAGTTAGCCAGAAGACAGACAAATATAATCAGACTGGCAAAGCAAGAGCATAAAGTGAATCACTCAGACCTGACCTTGACTTGATCGTGCATAAACCGGTCTGCTGGTTCAAAGATAAAAATAATAATAAAAAAAAAAACTGAGCACAGGCGATCAATAGAGAAACAGCACAACATCAAAGATGGGATTTTAAAATGATGTTCTTTGTGCCAATGAGCAATTATGTCAGATGTAGTGACAATATTTTTAATCTTAGTGACTTTTCTGGTGTATGAAAACCTCGGTGTGCAGCAAACGGCAAAGCAACTCACAAGCATTTGTAAAAGAGTTGTGGGACTCTTTTAAGGTCTTCTTTACCCATCTAAAATGTAAACATCCAGGATTTTCAAAAGGTGATGCTTTAGGGAAATCAAGAAGGAAACAAAGGAAAATTCACCACATGGAAGCCAGTCACAAATGCTCAGGTTAGCTAGCATAGCTACAGATGACAACAGATAAAACACCTTTAGTGTAAAAGTGAGATGTTTCTCTGCTATTAGCACATTTAGTAGTGCATACACAGGGGTGATTGACAATGCTAAGACACTCCCCGTAGCTCTGATTGGTTGTTTTTGACCGGGAGCGGTGCATTTCTTCGGACAGCAATAGTAGTGCTTCAAGGAGGTGAAGGAGCTTGAGCTTTTCACACATTGTCTCACATAATATGTAAATATTTTTTTATATATTTTAAGAAATATGTAAAAAAAACAACAACAGATTTTTGTAAAAGTTACAAACTGCAGCTTTAAATCAATGTATAAAAATATGATGCATACTAGAGGGGGCCAGCAAAGTTAGGGGAAGCCATTGCCCTCCTTTGGTGTCAGTGCTGGTCTGCAAAGGGAGACAGACTGAAATAGGAGAATTATAGAAACATGCAAGGAACCAAAGGAAGAGAAGTTGACAATGTTATTGCTCATTAAAAAGCAAATTTACTAGGTGTCATTTTGGCCATTACGGAGTCCAGTGGGCATTATTCTCTCTTCTCCTGTGTCCCCAACCTGATATTTGAATTAGCAGGTCTAAATGACAAGACCGCCTCAAAGAGGAGCCCACTGGCCCCTCTCTCCCAGAGTTTCAAAGGCCCGGCAACCTGGTTGCTGCTGGCTGTCAGAGAGTCGATTGGAATGTGTGGCAGAGAGATAACCTGTACGAGACAGAGCCCAAAGCCGTTCGCCTCTTTGACAGGCTTATTAACGGGAAACCGCTGAGGAAAAAAAAAAGGTCCATATCGGCAGAGGGATCAGGGGAGAAGAAACCTTCCCTTATCACCAGGACACCGGGGATTAAAGCCTGCCCCGCTCTGATAAATTAATTATTCTCTCTTATCGCTCATGTTTAAAGACTGTCAGACAAACCCACCTGGAGCCATAATGCTGGACAGCCCGTGTGACAGTAAGAGAAAGAAACATGTAGCCTGTGCCGGGGCTCATCTTGTTCTATCCAAATACGGTTTTCTTCCAGTTTCCTGGCTGCAACATAAAAACATATAAACAGACTTTCCTTTAAGACTACTGCAACGTTCCAGGGGATACCAGTAAAACTGTGCAGAAGTGTTGACAATTATTACTGGGCAAGAGATTGCTTCGAATAGGAAATCTGAGAAATGACACACACTTAAACCTCTTTCATGGAAAATTTGTCGTAAACCCACAAGCACAAACTGCTTTCTGAGATCCCTCAAAAATCACAAGTATGGAGTGCGATCTCCCCTAAAGCTGTGAGTATTTAAAAATAAAGCCAGAACGCCAAACTGTGGGCAAGCAGACGGAGTTAAACATCATCTGTACTATGGATAAAATCAAATATCTCTCCAATACAATTATTTTCCAAACAGTAATGCTGGACAAAATCAATGAAGCAATCCTGCTGGCCAAGGAGAGGCTTAAAATGTAAATAATGCATCTCACCATGTTGCTTTCCTGGAAATGATTTCTGAATCTTATGCATTTACATCCTGCAGCCTGCTGGGCGCAGACACCGTTCCTCATCCAGTAAAATCAGCTTGACCTTACACAACCCTACAGATGTGAGCAAATGACCTGGATGGAAATGAGAAAAATTACGTCTTAATCTCACCTTAAATGTTTTGTGAAAGAGGCTACAGTGATTTTCTTGAATATAAACTCTGCCAGGTTCAACGTTCTGCTTCTGTCCACTTCTGCTAAATCTATTCTTCACATTGACGTTTGCATTAAACATAAGTGCATTTTAAGAGAAGAAACCAAACAATTCAATGACTTAGATTTGCCATGCACACAGAAACTGCTGTTTTCAATTCACGCAAATGCCGAGTTTGAACTGTCAGACAGTTTTCACCAAACATTTGGGATAAAAATTCTAACCCAGTATATCTGGTTAGAGAGCAAGGAGCCTTGCCATTGCTTATTGGCCACCATTTTGAACCATTACACCCATTACAGCTGGAGATGTGTCCCAGTAAAAAAGAAGAAATTATTTTCAACAGTTGCCACATACTTTCTCAGAAAAGCTCTAATGTCAGCAGGTCAGTGCAAACAGCTGAGTTTCCTTGGATAGAATGAAATTTACCAGTTATCATTGTAAGCTGCATTGCATATTATAATTAGGACTGATTTTCTTTTTACTGAATTGATTTGATTATATATTTCTGGATATAAATGGTCTTTTCTTTTAAAGTGCCCTGAAATAACAGTTTAAATAAGTTAATGCATTTTAATTTGAGTTCACAAGGAAATATTTTCAAGTTAGTAAGAAATCTGATCAGTAAAGCATATTTAAAAACCTTTAAAGTTGGATAAAATTGAACATTTTCCTGAATGGTGCTTTCAGGAAAAGCAAACGCTTGTCCATCCATTTCAACACCTGGAAATGGAAATGAATGTCTATAGGTTTACCAATTAAAAACCTAAAATTACATGTCAGGTTTGGCGCCACGGAACAAAAACATGAAATACAGACATTGTTTCTGTATCTATTTTGCCAGCATAAGGAGATTCTAAGTGGTAGGAGAGGTTTTCAAAGGCGTAGCGTGCCTGTGTCACAATACCCTCTGATGTCCTTGAGATAGTTGCTTGAAGTCTGTCAGCGGTGCTCACCTCCAGCCTGACGGGGCCAGCGCACATGGAGGGTGATTGACAGGGTGGGTGAGTCACAGGCTTCCCTAGCCTCTCTGCAATAATAGCAAAAACACCAATGCCGGGAATGTTAATGTCCTTCATATTTTATTAATTCAAAATCCATGGGATATCAGCTTGGTGCTTTATGAAAAGAAAACATCAATCCTGCAGAAGTAATGAGTGCGGCAGCAGATTGGGGTTGAGGGAGAAGGCAGCAGAGAAGAAGGGGGAGGATGAGGCACCGAGAACCCCTCTAGGTATGTACTGAGGGAGACGGAGAAAACTAATATTTGACTGTCCGCTGTCGGGTCTTGTTGGCTAAATGACTGTGCCTCAGGGAAGAAACAAGCACAGCGGCTGTTGCTGAGGTATCTCATCCAGCTCAGTGGAGTGATTGCTACACCTTATAGGCATCTGTGAATGGCTTTATGTTTGTGCACGCAAACACATGTGCATGTCTGTTTTTTTTTTGTTTTTGTCCCGTGTGTGCGCGAGTGCTTTAGTTCCTTGATTGAAGTGTGGGGGCTTTGTTGTTTTCAAAGCTTGTCACATATTTTTAGGCATCAAATTGACAAGACAGAACAGCAGCTGCATTAAAAGTGATGTGTGGTTTTCCTTAAAAGCCTGCATATGGAACTGCCGGAAACAGTCTGAAGGTCACAGCAGAGAAAACAGGGACACAGCTTGTCAGGGCGCTACAATGTCACAGGCAGGTGCCAAGAAAATTCAGAGCAGCTGGTAGAAAAGATCTTAGAAGTCAACGTAAAACTTTAATGCACTACAAAAGACTTGCCACAAATGATTTGCTTCTTTTATTAGGCATGTAACAAGGAATGTAAACTTTAAAAGAAAAACAAGTTGCACAAGAAAATTCATATGATTCATAGTTTAAAAGTATTTAAAAAAAATACCAACTCTTGGGTGAGAAAAGTAGCTATCAGATGTCCAAAAAGCAGCAATAAGCTGCTAAACTTTGCATCTTTGAATGTGACAGACGCGCTAGGAGAGAAAAAATAATTGTATGGGAGGGAAAAGGTTTATCCCAAATATGTTTAGAACTTGAAGCTCCTCTGTTTTTGAGCTCACAATGCTTCATTATTTACAGAGGCTAGACCTTCAAATTTGACGACCTTGAAGGTCATCTAATGGATAACACCTGTAAATGCTTGGGGTGGCAGAGGAGCCAAACTAGCAACCGCTAGTGGTTGGGAACAAAATATGTTTTTACTAAAAGTTTCCAATAATGTCAGAAAAAGTCACCTGATTTGACAGTTTTCACCAGAGTTATGGACAACAACAAAAAAAGTGATGTTGCTCCCACGCTGCGTTCTGTACGGCCAATATTTCACTTTCCTCTTGCGTTAAATAAAGACACATTTATGTCATGAACTGTTGTAGGTTACGAGCCAGGCACTGTACAGACTGATAATTATTCAAAGAAAAGCTCAAAATTATTGTCAAGATATGAGATAACTGGAGAATAAATGTCCAGAACAATGTTGAGCTGGCAAGGCAGCAGGAGGACATGCAATCATGCATGTCATTTAATGCAAGGATCCAACAGGAGTGCAGGAAACAAACAGGCTTATAAAAGCTTTGTAGGGGATTAGAAAACAAGGACCAGGTGAGATCAGTCAGCAGAAATGCATCACAGCTGAGAAGGGAATGTAACTTTAACATTACAACAGGTTGCTTTCCAGAAAACGGCAATAAAATTCTCAATTGTCCCTGTGAGGTGTCAGCTTCACCAAAATATAACCTGAAAAGCCCAATAGAGAATGTAGAGTTCTTTGCAGAACAACACAAAACATAAGATATTTTTTGCTGTAAGTCTGGAAAGTTGCTACCAATTTTGAAAGCTTATTAAACATTGTGTAATTTTGCTTTAATTTATATTTAGATAAAATGAATATAATTTTAACAACCATTACTGAAGTAGCATTAAAGAAAAAATATTATTTTCTACATTTTCACATTTTTGGGAGATACTGTATTTTCTGCACTATAAGGCGCACCGGATTATAAGGCGCATAGAATAGACGCTACAGTAGAGGCTGGAGTTACGCTATGCATCCACTAGATGGAGCTGCACTGCACGGAATATCAACAAAACAGTCTGACTCCGGTCGGTTAGGAGAGCCTCCTGCGATTGGGCCGGGGCGTGGCTGGACGATGGTCACCCTTCTCCGTTCACGCAACGTATGTTGGTGGAGAACGTGGTGCTAATTGACCTGCAGACGACCTGATTCTAGACGGTCGGTAGGTAGATAGGTCAGTCAAACTTTATTAACAAACCAGCATTCTGACAACTATCCCAGCGTGCGAAAATGAAGACGGCGGCTGCTTACCGTAGTTGCTAGACCTGTTGTGGCTCAATATTGGTCCATATATAAGGCGCACCGGATTATAAGGCGCACTGTCGGCTTTTGAGGACATTGAAGGTTTTTAGGTGCGCCTTATAGTGCGGAAAATACGGTACTTCGAAAACCGTATATTTTGCTACTGGTTACCATGGTAGGAAAAAAAACTGATTATAATGACAAAAACAACAACATGCCTCGATTGACTGCATATTTCTGCACTTTGAATCTGTGTTTAAAGCCTCACCATAAAACGTAAATATGATTTTGAAAAGAATAAAATGGTTTCTGCAGCATTAAGAGCATAGACTGCAGAACTACTAGGCAGTCGCTGTCACTTTGTGTGAAGGGAACAGACGGAATCATGACAACTTCCATTTACGTCCACCATTCCCACCATTATTATTGTGATTTTAAAGAGACTGGATTGAGCATATGGTGAGCAGGTCCCTAATGACATGATGGATGTTTAGTATTCTCTGGGGCAGTTCATTGTTCACAAATGGGTGAAAACAGACAGTTTAATAGTTTCAGGCTAAAACTGCGGCTGCTGCTGCTTTTAAGAAGGCCATCATGTCCAATCATTAAACATCTGGAAGTGTCTCTCAGCTGCTGCCATTATGGCTCCAATCTTTCCGTCTTCTAGCTGTGTTTATTTGAATCGCTGCAGGCTGCATAGCAAAAACTTGAGACTAATAAAAGTGATAAATGATTTCTTGGTGATTCACAGAAAGTTTCATCTGTTTCTCTCAGGGAGAAGAAATTATATTCTGAAAAGATGCCACCAGCTTATTCACACCCACATCTATCAGGCGTTTTACCTCACTGGTGACATTTCATCCTTGAATGAATTCTCCTGGCATCTAAAGCCTCATTTCACCTCCTCTACCTCCTGCCTGCACACATTAAACATCTAAATGCATTTAACAAGCATGGTCACAAGAACTTACTATGGTTTTACACCTATAATGTGGTTTGAGGATTTTATGGATTTAAGAACGTTTTATCATTTGCCAATGTAGAAGTTGACCCATAAAGATTTTGGTTCATTAGAAAGTTGATTTGGCTTTAACATACTAAGCAGTAAAACCACAATGGAGAGGTGCTGCCCCCCAATTAATGCCTGAAAACCCCTTGAAATAAGTCAAAATGGTTTGGAGTATAAAATATTAATACATTTCATCTTAGTTATATTCACACATTTGCATAAAGAGTGTAGAAGAATCTTGCATTAGGCATTCAGATCCCCATAAAGTGGAGTATATCAGCTCTTAAGCTGTTGTTTCTCTTCATTGCTTCTTAAGAGTTTTTTGCTCATTGTCTTTGGGAGAATACTAAACCATTTTACATTTTGACCCATCGTACATGACGTCACGCTCTTCAGAGTGTCTGCCATGACAGACATCAACAAAACTTATGTGCACTTTAACTCTTTTAAAGTTTGTCAAAAAACGCACCTCTCATAAGGTTTGTTGGCTGTCACTTGGCAAAGCGCAGCTTCATTTCACTGATTGATTTGTGTTTACTCTACATCTCCTAAACACTTTGCCAACAATCATCGCCCACCTAAACTATTGATGGATTTGCAGCCCAAGCCATGTTCAGATCTTCTGTTTTTCTTCCCCTGGTGTCCTTTGACGTATCTCTTATTCATGTTGGTGAAGAGATTGGAATAGTAAAAAATAACAGCTCTTTGCAAAGTTAAGGTTAGCCTAAATTACAAGCTGGTTGTAAAGAAATATAAATTATTCACTTAGATTTTTTTAAGCATTTGTTTCTTCAGCTTGTAATTATCCTACCATAAAAATAAAAAGTTGATCATTTCATTGTGAAATGAACGTTGAAAATTCAGTCAGCAGAATGTTGAAAATTCAGTGTGGAATTAAACATTTTCCATGCTGTTTAATGTCAGCATTTAAAATGTTTGCTTAATATTCTTAAAATTCTTAATATGTGCTGAGATTCTGCTACTATTTAAATGAACCTTCATCTCTACCACAGACCACAGGTTGGACTTTGGCCAGACTCTTAATTCTCCATCATATATTTATATAGAAGAGTCATTTGAACCCAGAGAACAGGTCAAATGGGTTTAACTATGTGGTGAATAATTTAAGATTCTATTAACATTTAAATTTGACATTGATTTCACACAGTCAGGCCTCAGCTAAGTGACAAGAAACATCCAGATGTTAGAGAAAAAGAGTCCTGCTATTTGTCCAAACTTAAAGCTGAATTTTTTTTTTACATAATTCTGTCTCTCCTCTAGTTGGTTCAACAACATTTTGAACCAACTAGATTGTTTTTATGTACAATCTGACCAAAATATTAAGTGTGTCCAGAAATTCAGTGTATATTTCTGTGTTTAAGTTAAAGATTCTTTATAAACTGCAGTTAAAGTAGATTTTTTTCCAGCTCAACAAAGTTTGTAGATATAGATGTGAGGTCCAGGCATTGCCTTTTAGAGATCTGTTTACACACACAGAGGGGAGACCTTTTAATAGGACAGACCTGCCACTTGCATTGAGGTCATTGCATTTAAAACTTGTATTTACTGGACAGATGCCCGGATAGTTCAAGACTGTGCAGATTTACATTAGATCTAGCTCTATTATGTTATGTCTGGGAATAATAATACTAATGTGTAGATATAATATTTCCAAGCTAACAGTCACTGAAGCGGTTGTACTTTT